AAAAAAAAAAAAAAACATAAAGAATCCTGGAGGTCCTAATTTCTTTGTTTGGAAGTCTGTCACTCCTAGTCCAGTTTTCTGTCTCTAAGCATCTGTGGATACTCTTCTCTCCCAAACCACCCTCTCCGTTAAACCTCAGCTTAAATGCTGACTCCTTTAAGAAACTTCCTAGCCAGGTGAGGTGGTGCAAGCCTGTAATCCCACTGGGAGGCTGAGGCAGGAAGACTGCAAGTCTGAGTCCCACCTGGGCAAATTAGCAAGACCTTCTCTCAAAATTTTAAAGGGCTGGAGCTCAGTGATAAAGTCTTCTGGGTTCAATTCCTAGTACTGGAAGAAAAACAAAAAAAGAAGGGGGAGGAAGAGGAAGAAAGAAGAAACCTTTCCTTATAATCCCCCAACAGGAAGTATGGACAACCCTGAATTTTATAATTACCAGCTCTCTCCCCTCCCTTGAAGCACATCTGCATCTACCTTGTATGAGAGTGTCTTGTGTGTCCCTCACCTGTCCTGTTAAACTGGGGAGCTCCTTGGGGCACGAACTCTCTCATAAGTATACCCTCATGGTGCCTATAATGCACACAGTAGGCACTTTATAAGCCTCAATGTACAAAGATATGTAGGCTTCCTGCCTGTCTTGTATGGAGTGATCTTAAGATAGTGTGTCTTAAATTAGTTGAGATAAAGGGGTTGGATGCTTGGACATTGGAAAAGGTCAAAGCTGGAGAGCAACCCTTCAAGGCCTGAGTAACCCCTAGATCATCCAAATCTACCCTTCACCAAATTCCTTGGGCTCTTCCAAATGCTCGGAAAGGAACAACCCGAACACAGGGTTCTGTGTATGATATATATTTATATATATAATTACTCTCATTTTATTGTACTTTATCTTTTTTTTTTTTTTTTCAGATCTGACACAGGCATTAAATAACTGCAGAGAGACCACTGGGAAGAGGGCAGTGCAGGAAAACATGGGGATCCAGAAGGAAGAGAAATAGATTCAGCAAGAGAAAAAAGGAAAGGTTCCATTTGTAGGTGGAGTGTGGATGCTGCAGCATTAATAAAGAAAAAGGAGTTGCACAGAGTGAGGAAGAGAAGGGAAACAGAGGAGAAAGTTAAAATGCCTCTATAACTAAAAAATACTCAGAGCAGGAGGCCCCTCATTTAACATTCTGTGGGCATTATTTTTTTTTAAAGGCAAAAAGGTCTGAAGGAAATAGAGCCAAGAAAATCAGAACCTAGATTGAGGGGAGTATTTGAAACTTTCAGGACGGCATGCAGAGGACAGGGAAGGAGTTAGTGATCACTTGGTAACTTGCTAGGAGAAGCTGGAGAGAAAATGCGGTGGGGGGGGGGGCGCAGATCTGGGCTCAGAGGAAGGAGGTGGATTAGTTCCCCAGCCAGCTGATGTCTCCAAGGTGGCCACTGGGGACAGAGCCAAGATGGCTGCCCCTCCCCCAAGGCTCCCTGGGAAGTGGAACTTGAAGGATATTCTGGGAAGGCAAATGGGGGAAGGGAGCCATCGGTAAAAACAAAGTGGATATTCAGCCTAGGTCAAGCCTGCCTCTCTGAGTAGTGGCTCTTTGGATGACGGAAGGGACCAAGAAGGAATTGGAGTCAGGGACTGATACAGTACTTTCTAGAAAAATCAACAGGCCTTCTCTTTCAGTCATTTCCCAGCTCATGGAGTCACCATAGGGGGAAGGAAAAGGCCACAGAACCAACCTGTCCTCAATTACATATAAATGGCTGCTTTTCAGAGGACAAAATATAGGTGGGGAGAAGGAGGTTAAAATTTTCTGGAGGAACCAGAGAAGTCAAAGCCAGCAAGATAAGGACTGTAGAGACAAGGAGAAAGTGTAAGCGAGAGAAAAGGTACAATGGCCAGAGCTTAAAAATAGGAAAAGGGAATATTATGTTCACTTCTGGGAACCAAAGGGCTGAAGTGAGGAGTATGCGTGTATGTAGGTGGCTGGGTAAGTGGGCATGTTCTGTAGCTCTCAGGCAATGGGGCAGGAGAAGTGGGAGCTGTACGGACATCCCACTGACAGCTACACCAGAGCTAGAAAGACTCCTAACTCCTCTGTGGCCCTTTTAGTAGACCATCTCTATCTCTGGCTGAGCTTAGTATGGGAGAAGATGGCAGAACATGTGGGTAGTCAGGGAATCACAGTGGACATGAGGCTGGTTTGAGAAGTCAAAGAAAAGGGTGTGAGACTCAGACAAGTCATAGCTCTGTTATAAAAAATACCTTTGGGGTGGGTGAGGGAGGGATCAGGCAGGATCAGAGACATTCCAGAAACATCCATGGGAGAGAGGTGGGAATGGGAGGAAGGGGTCTCAGGTTTTGTTGATGCGGAGTTTGAAGGCCACACGGCCAGCGAACTTGTCTCGCTCATCATCGGTGGCGATATTGGCAGCATTGATACGGCATTCCACGTTCACCTCCACGTTGGGGGTCACATTCAGGAACTTCACGGCCACCAGGGGCTGGGTGTAGTTCACCTGGGCCAGAGGATGAGGGCAAGGGTCTAAGCCTAAAACAGCTCAGCCTCCTTCCCAAGAACCTCAGCATGCTCCTCAAGAAGTCATCATCCCAGGCCTCCCATGGGACTTACGTGGAACTTTTTGCCATAGTAGGGAAAGTACATGAGGTCGATGTTGCCATTGGCAGGAAACATAACAAAATGGCCAAGATTCTCAGCATCTTCATCTCGCTGTGGAGGTACAGAAAGGCAGGGAATGAACACTTTAGCAAAGGTAGGCACCCAGAAGTTTGCCAGACTCCCCTTTGTGCTTCCTTTGCCCCAAATTATTCCTGTTCTCAAGTCTGTTTCCCTTGAGCTGTGTGTCTGTCTGCATGTGTGTGTGTGTGTGTGTGTGTGTGTGTGTGTGTGTGCGCGCATGTCATCAGAAGGGGGGCCTGTCTCATCCCTGAAGGGGCTAATGACATGGAAGCCTCCCACTCCATCACCACCCCAAGTTCTTACCCCATCCTTGAGAATCGGTCTCTGGAGCAGAGCCAAGAGAAAACACAAACAGCAGGGCTCAGTAGGGAAAAGGAGCAGGGAGATGGGAGAGAGCAGCAAGTTTCTAGAGGACAGAGTAGGGGCAGCAGGGTTCCAAAGAAAATACAGGGGTGCCAAATGGTGCTAATAGATCTGCAGCTACTAGATGCCTAAAAAGAGCTGAGGAACAAGAGTGAGATGTGAGGGAGAGCAGGAGGCATAGGCAATTGGGGAATAAAGAAGAAGATGGAAGCCTTAGGGGGAGAAGCCAGAGACCAGGGCTTTGGTGGCAAAAGGATGGGTCTGGCCCCATAGGAGCAGGATCCTGAATCCTAGAAAGCAAGGGGGCTGGGAGCCCCTGCTGAAGTTCAAGCCACTTCCAAGCTCACTCTTACCCCCTTGTCTCTATAGTGTTAGGGCCTCTGGGAGCAAAAAAGATAGGGAGAGACGGATGAATCACACAAAAACTGTGAAGGATAAAGGGGTAGACAAGGTCCATAAACTCACCTTCCCAGCACAGGTGACATTCATGCTCTGGTTTGCTCCTGCATAGAAGTTGATGACCTGGAGTGAAGAGGGAGAGTGGTGAGAGTGGAAGAAGTTGTCACACCACAGATACCCAGCCCTCAATCTACAGAGCTTAGCCACCAATAGCTCCACCTCTTGTTCTCTCAGCTATTCAACCCACCAAAAAATCTCTCTAATGCCCATTAACCCCAGGGAAAGGACAAAACAGTCAACAGATGGTGGCCCCAGCTCCCGCCTCCATTCTCCCTGGGGACCAAGGTCATGTGTACCCGGTTCATCTTGATGAAGACACAGGGCTTCCCAGTGCTGTAACCATAGTAAGTGAGATCCCCTATGCCGGAGCAGTTTCCCAGCTGGGTCCGGTTGAATTGGCAGGCACGTTTTGGGTAGTTAAGGACCCCGTTATCTGGCTGCTCATAATACCGCCCAGGGCGGCAGACGTCATTCTTTTGGGCTTGGATAGAGTTGTTGTAAGCTAAGAAGTTGGAAGAGAGAGAGTCAGTCACAGGCCTGGCGTTCCATTTCTATGGTTCCAAATCCCCCTCCTGCTGTCCTCAACTGCCACATAGCCAGCCCCTCACTCACGCTCCAAGAACTTGTTGAGTTTCTGAACATGCTGGTCCCAGCTTTCAGTGTCACTGATGTTGACAATGACATCAAGATTCTCAGTCTTAGGGCGAATCATCAAGCCTGTAGCCAACATGGGCAGAAATAGTGGGTATGTGTAAGATAAGGCGCCACACACAGAGGAAAGAAGGTGGACATGGGGAACTCCAGGGCTAGGGATGGAGTGAAATCTGAGATTGTCTTTATAGGAGGGCAGCCTCCTATGAGTATCTGCCACTTCCTCCCCAGATCACAGAGCTCCCAGCTTCAGGACATGGGAAGGAAGGCAGACTTCAAGAAGAACTTTCCAGCACATGGTGATTGGATCATCAGAACCAAACTCATGCAAAGAGCTGTCAGTTCCTTTGGGAGGCTTGGGGCAGCAACAGTTAAGACTGGCCAGTAGAGAGAATCTCATCACTCACCTGGTGTAGCCAGGCGGTCCTGGTACTTGGGGGTGTGGTCAGAGACAGTCTGCAACATCACCCACATGGTGAGGGTGAACATGGCTGTGAGGAAGCCATAGAAGACGAGGTAGAAAAGGAGGATGAAGGCTAGGGAGAAGGAAACAGAGTCAGCAGGTTCTAAGTTTCTTACCATGACCTCACCTAACCCCACTCACCCCTCTTCAATTCAGAAGTTCTACACTGGTGTGGGCCTTAGAGCCACACGATGTCTTAGAGCTTTCCCCAGGGAGCCAAGAGAAACAAACTGGAAGCAGGCAGTGTATCCAAGTTTCGAGTCATGACTCCCAGCCTCCTCTGATTTTAGTGCACAGTGAGGCCCAACCTTGCGGAGGCCACAGGAGACCTAAAGTCTTGTTGCTAGGACAATTCCACAAATAGGCCACTGTCATTTTCGTTTTTTTTTTTTTTTCCATTTAATAACATTTCCAACTTCTCAACCAGGCATGATCCTGAGAAAGTACAACATCTGTCACTGCCATAATGATACTAATGCTTAAAGTTGTCCTAGACCATTACTTTGTATGTGTGTGTGTGTGTGTGTGTGTGTGTGTGTGTGTACACTGTTGAGGATGAAACCCAGGACCTTATGCACACTAAGAGTGCATTGTTTGTTTTTCTTTTTTTTTGAGACAGGGTCTCACTTGGTAGTTCTAGCTGGCTTTGAACTCACTATGTAGCCTAGGCTGGCCTTGAACTTATGGTGATCCTCCTGCCTCATCCTCTGGAGGGCTGGGATTACATGCATACACCACTACACCTGGCTTCTGCAAAGAGTTGAAGCTGGTATTGACTACCACTCACAGCAAAACCCACCACCCTGCAGAGCCAGAACTCTGAGACTCAAATAGCAAGATATCTCTCTCCTGATGCTCCACAGAAGCTAAACCTTGAAAGCAATTTCAGAAATAAAAGGCCTAAAACACTGTCCTAGATACAGCCTCAGACAGCTGCCAGAACTTCAGCGATCACCCCACCATCATCATCTCATACACATATACAGGACACTAGGCAGAAGCCCTGAAAAAACAGAATCCCCCACAGCCTTCCCTTGACACCATCTTGCCATCATCTCTCCCTCACTTCTCTCCCTTGGCCCCATACAAGGGCCTGCTGTTCCCTCCACCTTGGACCTTCCACCTCAGAAGACACTTCGTCCGAGAAGCCTTCAGATTCTCCCAAGCATTCAGGGATCCCTGAGGATAAAGATTGCGCCAGACTCTTCTTGTGGGCCCCTAGTCCCTAGTGGATGGACTGATGGGACAGTGTCCAATCGGTGTGAATAAATTGTAAATCCTGTCACACAGTGTCCCCTGTACTATGACTCCCCAGCTTGACAATCTCTTTTAGAAGAATTCTACCCCTCACCTGCCGCTGTGCCCATGACCAATCCCTGACCACATATAGGTCCCTCTGCCCGTGTCCCACAAGCCATTGGGGTCCCGTGGACACACATCCGGCCTAATGATGTCCCCATCTCACCACACTGACCACTCCTCCCTCTGCCAGGGATATATGATCCAGCCTAGAAAACTTCACAGTATCACCCTTCCCCCAGCAGCCCCCCCCACACAAAGCAGTTACAGAAGGTTCCAAATGCCTAATGGTGCGATATAGACAAACGACTTCCGCTGTGAAGAACCCCCCCCAGTATCCCCCTTCCAGACCCGCCCTCTCATGAATGTTCCCAGGGTCCAGGGGGTGGGCACGAGCTAAAAATAGATAGACAGGGTTGGCCAACTAGTGGGAGCAAAGGGAGGGAAGGGATACTCTCCCGGAGATAGGAGGCGAGGGTGCATCGACTGGCCTCAGAAGAGAGCTGGAGCTGGGCGGACACGCGCACAAAGCCCGAGACCCCGCGCCCAAGGGGGCTCCGCGGGGAGCGGGAAGGCAGCAGTGACCTACTTTCTCCGCCTCCGCAGCGGCCAGCCGCGGAGATTAGACCGGCGATTTGGTCCCCTCCCAGTCCAGAGCCCGGCAGGGGGGCCGGACGCCAGGGACCTGGCAGGGGAGCTCGTGCCTCGCCCACGGGACCCTGCGTCCCGAGGGTCGCCCGGCGGCCTCCCTGCCCCTCGCGCGCACCCCTCGTACCCCAGCTGGTCCCGGTGCGGCCCATGAACTGGTGCGTCCTCGGGTTCCACACGAACTCCTTCCACTCCTCAACCACCTGCCCGCAGCTCTTCTTCTCTTTCTGGATGACCATTCTGGCGGCGCGGGGCGAATCCCAGCGCGGGGCGGGGGGCTGCGGAGAAGCGGGGGAGCTGCGCACAGTCGCCTGCCACGTACTGGAGCGCGCGGGACACGAAGGCGGCGGGGGCGAGGGAGACCCCCTCTGAGAGGCAGCTGCTGCAAATCCCGGGGTGCACGGCCACGCGCTACGGGGTGCTGGCAGCGCGGCGGAGGCGCTCAGATGCTAGGCCCCCGACCGCGATGAAAAAGAGGGGAAGGGGTGTGAATGCAGCCTCACCCCGCAAACCACCTAGAAGCAAAACGAAAAGCGACGCAAAAACAGACGGCTACGAAATCCGAGCAAAACACTGAAAAAAGAGGGGTACGAAAAGACAGGGACAGGGAGGAGGTGGCAGCCCCTAAATCCGAGATGCAAAGAGGCGGTAGAACGCGGCAGGTGGCTGCTCGAAGCTCCTCCGCCGGGCGAAGACCGCCACACCACTGGTGGCCCCGCCGTGGGGGTGGGATAGGGACACGCAGTTCGGGGACAGCCAGAGAGAAATAAGGGTCCCCCAGGCGGAGGCTCCGCTCCTCAGCAGTGCGGGCCCCGCGGTCGCTGCTCTCGGTCTTTATACTCTGGGACTCTGAGGGTGCCCGCCCCCTTCCCACCCCAGAAGCCCCGCCTCTTCGACTCTGGCCCTCACGGTCCTATACAGATGCAAATATGGACAGAGGGGTTGGGCCCGGGCCCGCCCCCTGGCGCCTCTCTGGGACCTGGCAGGCTCTTCCCAAACCCCCACCTGGTACTGTATTGAACAGGGTGGCAGAAGAAGATAGAGGGCATGTCTAGGTGGAGGAGAGAGAAAGATAACCCCAGAAAGACAGGAGAGGCAAGCAGATACTGCGCAAAGGTGGAGGCCCAGGCAGGAAGTTAGAAAGAGACTAAAAGTAGAGGTGCTGTGAAAGACCCTGGGACACATAGCCCAGCAATGGGGGCACCTGCTTGTAGTCCCAGAGCTTTGGGAGGCTGAGACAGGAGGATCAAAAAGTTCGAGCCCAGCTTCTGCAGTTTGGTGACTTAGCCATAACCTATCTCAAATTTTAAAAACTTGGGAAAAAAATTAAAATCTTCTGGGGAGGTAGCTCAGTGCCAAGGTCCTGGGTTCAATCTATACTAACCCCCCCCCCCCAAAAAAAA